TATAAATATATATATATATATATATATATATAATCAGCTAAGCACTTCACAATTTGGACAACTTTTGCTATGAAGGTATGTGGATTATTAGAAAAGTTGACTTTTCTAAGAATATATACTTATAATATAAACAGACAGACTAAAACTTAAGTTATAACACTATAAACTTAAGACTTGTTGAGGCTTACAACAAAGACAACAAGAATTTCAATTACATTATGCATGGCTGTGGAGATATTAGCAAAAATGCTTATAACAGCGTCACCTTGTGGCTGATTTCCACCAAATGGAAATTCACCATGATTGTAGTGGTAGGCCATACAAATTGACAGCTGTCATCAAAACCTGCATTTTTCTGTAAATCTAAACTAGAGGAAACATATCCCTATATGAAGTGGGAGCTGGTTGGTTCAATGATTCAGGAGAATTTTTTTTTTGTTTCTAGCCCTTACAGTCCCAGTGTTATACAGACATGTTAAAAAAACAACTAATACTAGAGAGAGAGGATGTTCTACATAGATTTTAATATACACTTAAACAGTTAACAGTACTTGATGACAAATTACTAGTAATTCTGAGATTCATGAAATAAAATAAACATCATCAACATTTCTGGACCTTCATACCTTGGGTCATTTCTGGCCCGGAAACAGATCATTTTTACCATAAAATTACAAAGCTCAATCTGTAAAATACAGCACTTATATAGTAGTTACATAAAGCCTTTAAGACATAAACAGAAAGTGATTCTGAGTCATTTGTTATTATACATACTGCATCTAGAAAACAACAATGTAAGGATAAAATGTTTAGTACAACTACATCTGATAGATCTGCGTTTATGCTACTACAGCCTTCTATGATCATGAGTCTCTCACTTTCCCGTGAAGGGGTAGGGGTGTCTCGATTCTCTTTTGGTTGGAGGGGTAGGGGTAGGGGTAGGGGTAGGGGAAGGGCCAGATGGCCCTTCAAACGAAGGGGTATGAATTATCTCAGTGTAAACCGGCTTCAGCGGCAACATGGCTGCCCGAGCGAACAAAAAGACACATAAATGTAAGCATTTTTGGCATTAATAAAGATTTTAATGAAAAGTAATCATTTGTTTTATGTTACATTCAATCGTGAGTTCATATTTATGGTCATGTTACTCAAAGAAATGTTTGCAAAAAAATCGCTAATATTTGCTAACTAACGTCATATCATTACAGACTGCACGATAGTGCCACAACATATTTTTATGTCTGATCAGGGAGATAACCACCATAGACATTGAGGGGGCTAGTCCCCCCAATAATTAGAAATCGCTAAACCCTTTTCTCAAATATTACAAATTCGAGAGAGAGAGAGATGAAAGTTGCGTGTATGCGTGTCTCTTTTTAGAGTGAGTTTACTTAAAACTGCGATTTTATCCTCTTGTTGCTGGAAAATATAATGTATCGATTCAGTATTTAAACTGTTATTAATAAAAGTCCTGGGGCAGTCGTTTCTGACAAGTTTCTTTTTTTGGGCCTTAGTGTGACTCGAGTTTCTGTCTGATTTTGCATGAAATGGTAGACAAAAATTTTATGTTTATTATGGTTTGCACATTTCAAGAAGACTTCAAATTAGAAAAAAACAAACAAACTGAAATATGTTCTCCTGGCCAGTCAGAAAGTGCCACTTTCAGCTCAGTGTGTCACCATGGAAACTGAAATGTCATATGTTCTAAAATTCTAAAAGAAAAAAAAATTGTGTTAACTACAATATACACATAGTTTAAAAGGGTCATATGACGTTGCTAAAAAGAACATTATTTTGTGTATTTGGAGTAATGCAATGTGTTTATGCGGTTTAAGGTAAAAAACAACAACATTATTTTCCACACAATGTACATTATTGTTTCTCCTCTATGCCCCGCCTTTCTGAAACGCATCGATTTTTACAAAGCTCATCGGTCTGAAAAGCGAGGTGTGCTGTGATTGGCCAGCTATCCAGTGCGTTGTGATTGGCTGAATACCTCAAGCGTGTGATGGAAATTTTACGCCCCTTGCCATACTGTGATGCCGTGTCCCGGCGCGATGAGACAACACCAATTAATAAAACCCATTACAAACAAGGCATTTGTTGCATCCAGTGGGGACATAATAATAAATGATTATAATGACTTGTACTGTCTTTTTACGCGTTGCGTTGCATATTGCGCCGCGTAAACATACCATGTCTGCTCAAAACTCACGTTTGAATCGTCAGTGGCAAATTCTTTAAAGGGGTCCTATTATGCTCTTTTAAAAAGTCTTGATTTTGTTTTGGGGGGTATACTAGAACATGCTCTCATACTAGGTTGTTCGAAAAACATATTATTTTTCATATATTTTACATTACAACACCTCTCTCCCCAGTCTGGCATGAACGGCTCGAATAGTTCCTCTATCCAATGAAGGCCCGCCTTCTGAAATACGAAATGTGTTGTGATTGGTTAGCTGGGCCAGTGTGTGTTGTGACTGGTTAGCTGGGACAGTGTGTGTTGTGATTGGCAGCATTCGGCTCCTGGGCAGGAAATGTCACACCCCTTACCTGCGAGCTTCAGTGTAAATATTGCGTCAAAATCAAATAAATTTGAGCGCGATTTAAACCCAGATGATTGTAACCACTCTAAATTCATCTGTCTTGGGAAAGCTAGCGTGTATCTGACATAGTGATAACACTTGTTGCCTTCTCTAGTGCAGCTCAACCAGGTCTCGTCCCATTTGTCGATATTTGTGATATCACAAATACCAGAAAATATGCGTTGTAGTCCAAACAAGTCGTTCTTTGTAGTTTTTGAAAATTGATTTCTGTTAAATAAAATATCTCCTTTTGAAGTGGACTTTGAGCTTTGTAACTTTGCAGAACTTTTTTTATGCTCAAACAGCAACATTACAGACTAACTAAAGTTGAAAAAGTGAAAAAGCATAATAGGACCCCTTTAAATATAAAAAACGTACTTACAGGCTGTGAGTTAACTGTCCTTGCAAAGTTGGAACTGCCCCACTTTATTGAAACAGCCTTTGTGCACAGATGCATTGCTGCACACATCTGAATATTTGGGTTGAACTGTTCTGGAACAGTGTTGTAAATACAACTTAACCACTGATTTCTAGTTGTGTCTCTTTTGGAAGACCAAACAAAGTAGTTTCGTTTTCACAACGAAACACACAGCATCTCCACAACATGGCGGCGGCAGTGGCAACAACAATACTACAGCGAGAATAAAAGTTATGCCTTCTTTTGGCGTAACATTTGGGCGGCGTGATGCAAATCTTCCCACACAGTGACGTAGACATGTGGGGGCGTGTTTAAACTAGGTGTTTTAGGGGGGCGTGGCAGAGTCTTAACTTTGATAAAGAATATCTCTTTGGTTTTGAGACTTTAGTCTGTGCAACTTTAGGGACCTTATCTATGCACAAACAGCTTCTAACACTCCAAAGAGAAAGGAAAATTTGAAATGGCATCATTTAACCCCTTTAACATAAATATGAAAGCAAAAATTTATATGTACTATAATCCTGATTCCTTGTTCAAGAAACAAATTATTAATCAGATTTTGTGCAAAAAAAAAAGCCTACACATTTAAATTAGTATATCTGCATTTGTATGTTAAAGGTATATAAAGTGAGAGTATTTGTTTCATTCACGTGTGCATGTGACATCTGTGTTGTTGCCCACAGGGTTTTCAGATGGACACAGAGACACTGTGGAGTTAAATGCATAAGATATTAGCCCAAATCCAGCATAGAGAGGTTCAGTGAATGTGTTGTTGAATGTGTGTATGTGTGTGAGTTTGTGAGTGTCAGAGACACTGTAGAAGGACAGAATGCCGGCCGACACATCCACATACACTCCTACTCTATTAGAAGAGCTTAAATGGACATGTGTGTCAGTGGCATAACTGTACCAGACACAGAATGTGTCATTTAAGCAGGACAGACACCAGGAGTTATTATTGAATCCAAACCAACAGTCTGCACGCTTTCCTTTCCTGCTGATTCCTTTATATGCCACTGACATTTCAGCTTGTCCACTCCATTCAGCCTCCCAGTAACAGCGTCCAGACAGACTCTCTCTACTCAGAACTTGAGGATGCCTTTCAAATCTCTCTGGATGATCAGGATATGCCTGATGCTCTTCCACATATGTCACCTTTAAATTGTGGTGTGGTGCATTTCATCAAATAGTGTGACACTATATCATTAAGTGTGACAATCAGAATTGTGGCAATAAAAATACTTTTTTGTTATAAACCATAAATAAGTAAATGGAACAAAAAATAAATAGTATCAGCAAGATTCACAAGCATTTTGTTAGATTTATAACAGGGTTAGTCAGAATTATTCTAAAATGTCTGGAAAGGCTGAGGAGAGATGTCTGACTCTGCATGTATAACAGGGTTAGTCAGAATTATTCTAAAATGTCTGGAAAGGCTGATGAGAGATGTCTTACTCTGAAAAAGAATACAAAATCTAATGGATCTGTACAAAATAATTTTAAATCTTAAGATAGTAATGATAAAGATTTACTTAGGGAGAGTATATCCCAATTTCATTTGATATAGGATAACTTTTATGTCACACCATATGACAATTTTAGGCACAAATGCAACAAATTGGTAAATAAATCCAATACAAAATTGGATTTTTTTTTTTTTTGGAAATTCAAGAGTCAGTACAGCACAGCTCAATATTTTTTATGCCTAATATTTGAAGTTTTAAAAAAAGTCTGTTCATGTCAAGTCTGTTCATGCCAAGTATTAGTTTAGTTTTCCTTGGGGAGACTGCTGGCTAGCTTCCACGCTTTAGCTAGTATTTCCAATCATAGTGGGGGACATTTGGACCTTGCAATGTAAGTTAAACCTGTGTATACATACAGATGCATCAGTGTGACTCTTCCTGCTCAACCTACTTGAGTTTGTCCAGTCTGTATTTTGGATCCTCCAGTTTTTCAGAGAGCAGCTTGACTCCTGATTCTCCTGGGTTATTGTAGCTCAGATCCAGCTCTCTCAGGTGTGAGGGGTTTGAACGCAGAGCTGAAGACACATAACCACACCCTTCCTCTGTAACCATACAGCCAGATAACCTAAAAACACACAGCAACATTCCACATCACATTAGTTTGGCAATCAGACATCACTTTCACACACTGACCTATGCAGTTCACACAGTTCCTTTGCTCAAATACATGTTTTTTCTTTACCATTTTCATATTGAGTTCTTTGCTTAATTATTTAACTTCATTGCATGCTGCATATTTTCCATAGACAATTCCATAATTTAACCATTAGTGAGATTTGGAAAGCTTATATTTAAATGTATAATGAAGTTGACATGAATGAAATATGTACATTAAGTCATGATGGCATTAACAATAAACTATTGTTTTCTGTGTTAAAGGGATGATTTACCCAATAATGGAAATTTGCTGTAAATTTAATTCAAAATTTAATTTAATTCAAAAGGTGACTTTTTCTCTTGTGTAGAACATTAAAGAACAGTAAATCAGTTAAAAAATCAGCTGCCCAATTTTGAGAATAAAAAAAGCATATTAAAGAACACAAAATTACTCCTGACCATATACAGTATATTGTTGTCTCATGAAGTAAAAGTAAAAAAAGTCTGTGTAAGAAACTGGACATTATTTACAACAATATTACCTGAATTCCATAGCCTCAGTCAAATGGTCCAGAGTGATATCTGGTTCATGAATGAAGCATTCTTTTGAACTGGTTCTTTTCAGTGAAATAACCAGTTCACCAAATCGGACTGAACTTTCTGAAATGGTTCAGGGCTCAAGCAGCACAGACCTACAAGTTACTCGAACAAAACTCACTTTTGGATGTGCCTGATGGTCACTCTGACTCAAAATGAGTCAACATACCAGCGTATGTGATCCTATGTTGCTGGTTTTTGCAAACCCTTTCAGTGCTTCAGTTCCTCCAACAGTTACTGCACTGAGGAAACACAGAAGACCGATGAGCTGGTGATATGTGCATGTGTGAACTGAGCACTTGAATAAAGGGGTGAAATTAATGTTTTTATGGTTTCTCATTGTTTATTTCAAAAAGGGGTGCTGATGAAGACATGTTTATTCACTTTAAGTATTTTAGACAAGCAATACATGTTTTACACCATTATTGGGTGCATTAATATTATGTGACCTGTGCTGGCAAAATGAGTCACAATGAGCACATTTTTAAAAATCTGTTATTTTTTTACATTCTCAATTAAAAGACATTCAAAATAATATATGAGTTCTTGGAATCTGACAATAAATGACTGAGCTATATCAGTTCCAAGTCTATAGAGTCAGCAAAGTCAATTTAGAGAAAAATCGAGTTATAATTTTCTGAAGGTTCCAAAGCAAAATGACCTAGTAACGTTGCATCTTTTCTTCCAATTCTTTTTGCCTGTAGCTCAAAATTAGCCTGCGCACATTCCAACTAATTTTGCCAGCACAACTCACATATAATTGCGTATACATTACATCTAAAAAAAAGCTAGTGAACTGAACCAGTTCATTGTAAAAGAAAATAATCAGATTTCCTTGTTGCCTGAGGCTTGTCACGATCGCCTACTGAGAGGAAACGAGGAATGAGGAGAAGGCAGGAGAATAGCAATCCACAGTCTTTAATAATCCACACTCACAGTCTTTAATAATCCACACTCACGTAGCACAGGGGATAGATGTTTAATACTGGACAAAGGATCTCAGGGAAGACAAGACTTAAAATACACAACATAACGAGGAACTCAATGAGACACAGCTGAATCAAATGAACACACTAGGAACAGGAAAATAACCAAATATAGGCACAGTCACACACGAGAAAACTAGGTCACGGATCACATGGGAAGCAAAAAACACCAACAGACAGTCCAGGGGTGTGACAGTTCACCCCCTTCCCGGAAGGCGCGACCTCGCGTCGCAAAAACTACAAAGGGTGGGAGGGAGGGGGGCTGACAAAGGAGTGGACTTGGGATGGTAACGGGGGATGGCAAAAGGGCTGGCCAGAAACAGTCAAACAAAACAGGTGGAGGCTCAAGTGGAGGACAGACTCCTGGGAGGAGGATGACAGACAGAGTCCATGGAGGAGACAATGGATGGAGGAGCCATGGAGGAAACAGGAGAAGCCATCAGATGGACAGAGGAGCCAGGGAGAAAACAGGAGGAACTTGGAGCAGGAAGAGCCCAGGTGGGACCCAGGCCACAGCCATGATGAGCCGACGGAGAGCCGATGAGCCAGGATGGTGAGGAGGATCCGGAGGTGAGGATCCCGGAAGGCCGCGGTGGAGCCGGAGCGACAGAGGACAGAGGTGCAGCCGAAGGGAAGGAGGAGCTTGACAGAGCCGGAGGGATGGAGGGACGAGGCGCAGCCGGAGCAGTGGAGTCCCGAGGCAACGGATGGTCGACAACAGAGCAAGGCGGAGTCGGAGGGACGAGGGAGCCCGGCGGAGCCAGTGGAATGATGGGCCACGGCGGAGAGGAGGGAGCTAGGAGCCATGGTGGAGCCAATAGGTTTACGGGCCGAGGCAGAGTCCTGGACTCAGAGGCTGGAGGCGGAGGCCAGGGATTCTCCAGCCACGCCGACGATGGAGACTGGCAAACCCACAGAGCTCACACTGTACCGATGGTAGGCTGAGGGCGAGCAGAGGGGCTGTCAGACGACAACGGTGGAGGAGGCAGGAGCGGGAGGGTGGGTGGTCATTTTTTAGTTACCGGGCTCTCAGGGCTGCCCTTGGGAACAGAAGCCCTCTCTGGGCTAGACTCGGGAACATACGCTCTCTCTGGGTTGGACTTGGAAACAGAGGGATCCGACAAAGGAGAAGGGGCAGGTCAGCCGCAGCGGTCTCGGGCTCTCAGTCAACGGTGGGCTCGGGCTCCGCACGGCGGGGAGATGGTGGGCTGGGCTCTGGGTCCGGAGTGGAACTGGCGAGATCCTCCTTGGGACAGTCAGTGAACAGGGATCCGTTTGTCGCCAGTATCCACTCTACAAAGGCGAAATCCACTAGAGGGCCATCTTCAGACGACAGCGCTCTGCACGCGGGGTTCAGGCTGGCGTCACAGAACGTGCAGAGTGCGTCGTCCGGGTAGCTGGTGAGATGGGCAATGGCCAGAAACAGTCTGGTATGGCCCTCGAGCGATCTCTCCCCCTGCTCCAGCAGGAGGAGGAGGTAATCCGGGCGGAATAAGGGGTCGTAGGGATCCATGGGGAACCAGCGGGAGGGAAAAAAACAACAGAAACTAAATGGAGGGGAAATTCACAAATAAAGTTTTGTTCTTTTTGTTGGTCCAGTATTCTGTCATGATCGCCTACTGAGAGGAAAAGAGGAACGGGGAGAACGCAGGAGAATATCAATCCACAGTCTTTAATAATCCACAGGAACACTCACGTAGCACAGGGGATAGATTTTTAATACTGGACAAAAGATCTCAGGGAAGACAAGACTTAAAATACACAACATAACAAGGAGCTCAATGAGACACAGCTGAATCAAACAAACACACTAGGAACAGGAACAGGAAAATAACCAAATATGGGCACAGTCACACACGAGGGAAAACTTGGTCACGGAGCACATGGGAAGCAAAACAAACCAACAGAGAGTCCAGGGGTGGGACAAGGCTCTGGATTACAGGTAATAATGTTGTAAATAGTGTTCAGTTCCTTGCACAGACCGATCATTTTACTTCTCAATATAAAATCATAAAATCTCAATATAAAAGCCATAGATAATAATTTCTTGATATGCCGTGTTCCTTGATATGCTTTTTTTAAATTCAATAAGTACCACAGTTTCAGCTAAAAATCTTTTTTACGGTAACACTTTATAATAACGTTCAGTTGTAAGTCATTTATAATTGATTAATGATGAACTAATAATTTACAAAACATTCATAAGCGATTAATTAGTGATATGCTAACAATTTGGGCATGTTTTGTTAATTAATTTACAAGTAATTAGTTAATGATGAACTAATCATTTACAAAACATGACTATGCGTTCATAAATGATCAGTAAGTGATTTGTTAATATTTTTTTATGTTTAATATTTTTTATATATTATCTGTTTTGTAGATTAAGTTATAAATCATTTACAAGTGATTAGATCAGAGTACCTCAATAGGCGGCCCTATTGAGGTAGGGTCAAAGAAAAATGTGGTAAAATCAGGTTCTGCTATACCATCTTTGTTATGGAATACATGTGTTGGCTCGCAGTGAGTTTTAACGTACAAGTTTGCTTTAATTTATTTTCAGGATCTGAGGTAAATCTATCTTTATAGCTTTCACTATGGCTATAAAGATCACCCAAAATAATATTCAAACTCACATTAGACACTTATAACACTGAATAAAGCACATAATCATTATGTCATATTTTGTATGTTGTTACTGCTGCGTCGTCACAGAAAATAAAAAACATTTCTAAAATAGAATCCCGTGTCGCTGTTGCGGGTTGTTAAGACAAAAACTACATGGAAAAGATACTTTTTATCGTGTCGCGTCGCATCTGGTTGGGACACACGGTGTTACAGTTTGATCCACCCAAAAAATCTTAAGTATAAAAATATTAATGCTGACCAAGTCTGTTCCTGTCTCTTGAGTTCTAGTTTGTCGGGTTATTGTGAATGTTACCCCGAGTGTGTGTCTGTCTCAGCCTTGTTGTCGCTACATTAAAGAGCCTTATTTTGTATCCTTGTCGTCCACGTCATCCTGCCTGCCTCCACACACCTGGACCGTGACAGAATAACCGACCCTAAAGTAAAGTATAGCAGCGTCTTTCCCCTCGTTTGTTTTGCTGTTTTTTTTGTCAGTTTTTATTTAGTTTTTGTATAATGGATTACCCCACCTTCCAAATCCTCCAGCTGGAGCAGGGGGAACGCGCTCTTGAGGACCACACAAATTACTTTTTGTCCCTGGCCCACCTCACGCACTACCCGGACAACTGCCTCTGTGGCTTCTATCAAGTCGGACTAAACGCCACCACACGAGCGCAGTTGTCTGGGGAAGGTCCTCGAGAGAGCTTCACCACCTTCGTCGAGTGGGTGCAGAACCCTGAGCCCAGCCCACCATCTCCCCGCGGCAGCCCCCCACCCCCCCGCGGTACGGAGCATAAGCCTGAGCCCACCGCGGACGGAGAGCCATTTCCCACTGCGATCCACGAGCCGGAGCGAAGCCCCACGGCTGAGAAGAGGATCGCCTCGGAGATTGAGCCCAACACGTCAGACCAGGTGCGAGAGCCGGTGACAGTGCCCACCACGAGGGAGCAAGCCATGGATTGTGTGAGTGCGGAGAGGAGCTCCGCCACCTGTATCATGGCTGAGGGTGAGCAGAATATGGAGGGCGGTCAGTGCCAAAACGAGGAGGAGAGACCTCTGGATCCCCAGTCCAGCCCGGGAAGGGCTCTTGATCTCCAGTCCAACCCAGGAAGGGCTCCTGATCCCCAGTCCAGCTCATGAAGGGCTCCTGATCCCCAGTCCAGCCCAGGAAGGGCTCCTGATCCCCAGTCCAGCCCAGGAAGGGCTCCTGATCCCCA